TTTTATTTTTGTAAATAATGAAAAAGTGGTCATGGTTCAGAAGTGTTCTTTGAGATTGGATTTAGAATCATTTGAATATGAAGGTCATGAAATAATAGAACATTTAAAAAATTCTAAGCTGTAGATATGGACATATTTGTTTTAGAGTCAAACATAAAGGGGTGACCTCATTAAATAATACGTGACCTGACAAATATTAATGTTCCTAAAAAGTGTATTAAATAATGGACCGAGAAAATGAGGTTGACTTCATTCTTTAGCATTCAATTTGATAAAAGCACAAAACTTGATCATTTGGTAATTTTAGTGATTTTGTTCACTTTACGTGTATTATGTCTCTAGAAACTTAGTAATATGCACATCGCATCATGGTAAAAGATGGAACAAAACCTAAGAAAACTAAAAAAAAAAATAGTGAAGAAATTTTCAAGAAGAAAAGGACATTTTCTGGTGAATGAGGTACATAGGTGATGCATGTTATTTCCCATCAGATTTCTAATCCTTTCACCAGGAAATTCTTGCTTTTATATTTGCTTAGGGTGTTCCATTGTGTGATTAAAATTTTTTAAGTTTTAAAAATACTACAGTTTGAATATATCCTTCAACAAATTTATAATCAAATAGAAAGTTAATTTGACCATTTTATCTGCTACCAGTTTAATTGTTGCAGTGCAGTGACTTAGTATGGCTCTTTTAGCCATGGTCTTAGTGACTCCCACCAGATGACTGGGTGGGACAATGCAGATGTAAGGTGCTTGTGGCCCACCAAGGGAATGGATAGCTTGTTAATGATGTAAATAGGGTACATGGCACCGCTGTGGGGGTCCAACCATGGAAATGAAGGGTATGGGACCGTTAAATTGGGATTAAGTCAGTTTTGCCATCTAGCTAGGCTTAAAATTAACCATTCCAGAGGTGGAAGTGGGGAATCTCACTACTATTAAGAGAGAAGAAACAAGAGTTGAGTATGTACTCCAACATAAGACCCCTGGGCAGAGAGTGGCTGAAAGACAGCAGGGTGATGGCAGCAGCAGAATCAAGAGAACTGAGAGAGTGGCATGAGACAAAGTTGCTGGCCTGCTGGCCTGCTGGCCTACAGAGCTAGAAAGCTGAGTGCCTTCGGACAAGAGGCTTGCTGGCAGAGTGGGGTGCACATATCGGCGAGCTAAAAGAGCTTTGTAACACTTGCCTGAATAAAGCAGAGGCCAGGTGGAGAGGCCGAGAGCCAAAGAGAAGCAGGCAAAGGGCCTGTGCATATGGCCCAGGGGAGGCTGCCCTGATCAAAGAATTGTATTCTGAGCATTCCAGAATCTGAATTGTAACCTATGACTTGCCTAATAAACCCCATCATCGTTAGTACTGTGAGTTCTGTGTGGCCATTATAACAAATTATCAAACACAGTAGAGAAATACAGATGCTATGAGAGGGACCGTTGGTATGAGAATTGGTAAAAAGTTTGGAGGGTAGTGGCTTGTCTGATTTCCCCTCGTAAGAATCAGCCTTGGGCTTATGCTGCTGATAGTGTGATCCTCTCCTCCTTGTGAGGTTAGAGGAGATGGGAGGATGCCGCCTCAAAGTCCTTCTTGCAATTGGTTAAAATGATTTTTGCAGTTGTGGTTGAAATTTTAGTTTTCCCCAAGACAAGAGCAGATAAGTAAACAATAATGTTAATGATGAAAAGAAAAAAAAAAGCTCACAAAATTGGCTTATTAAGCAGATATATTTTTTCAACATTTTGCACTTTTAGTCAACAATTATACGACAAATCATGACTGAAATACTTTAGTGAAAACAAGTTTGAGAATAAGATTAGAAGAAATGAATGTGGGAAGAACTAGTAGTTTTAAACTCCCAAAGCCTGTATATTACTGTTTCCTTAAGATAATAAAAAATAGTCTCAGAACTTACAAGGATTCTATCACAGTAGCCTGAAGATGTGTCACCAGACAACTTACTTAGTTGCGTTCTCATCGTGATTCAGTGGTAATTCTGGCATAGTTTGTACAACAGTGGAACAACTGTGTTCTTTTTCTCTGTATTTCATAAGTGTCCAATATCATGAGATACAAAGAAATCAAAGCAGACAAGAGACAGTATTGCTTGGATGCTGAACTGGATATTTGATTCTCTTCAATTCACCCCAAATTTCTTAAATTGACATTTTTAAATTGAATGCAATAGCAAGTTGCCCATAACCAATGAGACTGGGAATATTTCTTTTCTTTCGAAGCCTCAAATCTTAATATCCTATTTTTACTTAAAAGACAGACTATTAAGAAACAGGAAGTAAAATGTGCATGAATTTTTTTCAATTGCTTTAAAAAAATTTTAAAGACATTTTGAGTTTTAGTCACTTCTTTGGGAAACTAATCAACTGAAGAATACATTTTATCTTTCTCCACCTTTTGTTTTTAGGGGTTATTTAGTGAAAGTCTTGTTTTAAGAAAAACTGAAAATAAAGCACTAAAAACTGGGAAGGGCGTGACAGATTTATTCATTAGATCTGTCTGAAGAAGTGAAGAAAATGGAATAGACAGGAATGGTGAGGAGGCTAATTAGAATCCTATTGGGTAGTTTCAGTAAGTTTTTAAAAACTCTTTATTATGGTAATATTCACACATTCACAAAAGTAGAGAACAGTATAGAATCTTTGTATCCATTATCTAGCTTTGCAACCAAGTAAAATGTTCCCCAAGAATGTGGAACAGTATCTATTCTAAGGGGGAATTGAAACCAAATGAAGTAAAAATTATTTTCCCCACCCTGGCACCCAGATGGGAATAGGTAAGTAAACTAAATTATTCCCAACTATTTTCCCACTCCAGACAGATGAGTCCTTAAAGAACTGAATGGAAAACATTCCTTCCTGCAGATGATAGACTTGCTAAAAGTATTTTAGAAACAATTTGTAAATTAGTGCTGGCCAGTGGACATGCTCAACAGGGCAGAAACAACTTGTAGATTAACTCTGGCCAGGGGACATGAGCAATAGGAGAAAAGGAACAAAGATTGATTGAGACCCTCTCCCCTCTGCCCAAAGCCTGTCAGCTGATAACAAGAAACTAGTGTGACCCATCACCCATTTCACGTTCAGGCCCCAAATTCCTCAACCTTTTGTAAATATGCATAACCCCTTCCCCTGAAACCTACAAAAACTGTGTTTCAATGGCATCTCAGATAAGATCTGGATACTAAACTACCCTAACACCTTGCACTGCTGCTCTGCAATAAATAATTTTCTCTCCTCTCAATCTCCTGTAAACTGTTTTGATCTGACTGCTTGATCTGACTGTGCAGGGTCCGATAACAGCTTCAACTGTTATTTACACATGGCCTATTTTTCCTCTATCCTCACTTTTTCTGCCCACACTCTGTCCCTGATAAATTATTTTAAAGCAGAACATCTTTGAGAAAATGGTGAGAGCCTGATTGGGGAGGAAGGGAGCTGTGAATTGGTAAAGGATTTGGAAGACATTTGTGGCATAGAATTTAAGGACTCTAGATATAAGTGTTAAGGGAGAATGAACAATTGTGCATGATTTTAAATTTCTAAGTTAAACTACTGATCAAGACTTCTTGATACTTCTTTATTCTCGATTGGCTCCATTCAAGTAATCCCCAAGCCATGGTGATTCCAGTTCCAAACATATATTCAAAATCCACACATTTTTTTCCTATTGACAATGTTAGCATCTTAATCCATGTTATGATGTGTTTTACAGATTCATCATTATTCTTTAATGTTGCACATTATTCCAATGTGTGTATGTACTATGGATTTTTTTTTATCCATTAATCCATTGATGGATACTCAGGTTATTTCCATCTTTTTCTATTGAGAATAATGCTGCAATCAACACAAGTGTGCATATAACTACTTGTGTCATGGCTCTTCATTTCCTAGGATATATTCTCAGTAGTGGAATTGTTGGATTATATGGTATTTCTATTTCCACCTTTTTAAGTTCCATATTATTTTCCACAGTGGTTGTACACACAGGCATGTGGTGCGTAATCCGAGAGAGTACATCTCAGACTTTGTGGGGGAGCATGTGTGGAGGAGAAGGGCCAGGTGCCACCATGTGGAGGAGGGTGACAAGAAGAGCATCACTGGCCACTGGGTGGGTGGAGGTTGGAGGGGACACACCTCTGATCACCAGGAGGGTATGGAGGGAGAACAGGGCAGAGCATACTCCACTTGTTGCTGGTCACTGGCTTGGCTGCTGGTGCATGCCTGAGCAAGTGCAGCCAGTTATCTGGTTCCTGTCCTCAATAAAAGGGAGGAGGCCATCCAGAGTCCAGTATCTCCAGCCACCACAACTCAGGCCTTTTCCTCTGTAGGGGTCTGTGGTGATTATGTTTGTGTATAAACTTGGCTAGGCGTGGTTGTGTGGTTGGGCAGCTGGATGTATTATTCCCCATGATAAGAATGATAATCAACTCCATGCTGGAATCTACTGTGAGCAGCTGAGTAGCTGCCTTTGGGTATGTGGTCTGCTTCCTGTATATAAGGAGAAGCTTTGAGAATGGTCTCTAGCCTATGGCATGCTTGGACCCTGCACGTAGCCATGTCATTGCTCAGCAGCCTGCTATGATCTGCCGACCTTGGGACTTAACAATGGATTTAAGTTAATGGCATGGCATGTGGTTTGGTAACATTGGGACTGTGCCTTTCTACTTGTCAACCTTGGGGCTTCTCAGTCTCAGCAGCCAGCAGCTGAGTGAAGAAATGCTTCTAGCTCCAGTGGGCCGGGAGCAGGAGGCAGAGCCGGACCCCAAGGTTGAGGGGCTTTCACCCAGCCCCTAGAGCCTGGCACTTTGAACTTGGACTTAAAGCCTCCAAATTGTAAGAATAAACTCCTGTTTGTTAAGTCCATCCTATTTGTGGTATATATTTCTTGTCAGAGTGGCACTAGGTAACCAGAACATGTACATAGCCTCATGGAATGAGAAAAACTCTGTATCGTTACAGAATATTTCAAAAGCTTCACATTTTGTCTAAAATAGTTCAAACTCTTATTTACTATATAGAAAAGATGATTGTAACTGAAAGTTTAATATCAGAAATAGGTTTTGCTGGGTCCACATTCTCTGTCTCTTTTCCACCTTTGTAAGACATACAATACTATAGACAATATTCATCTTATCTAAAATGTGTGTTTAAAAATATAAATTATAAATGGAATCTAATATCACAAATTTTTAAATCTGGGGTCTGAGAATATTAACTTGTGACCTCTTGATTCTCCAAATAGTCTAGCTTAGGGTCTTCAAAGGAATGAAACGTTACTTATCCCAAGACAAAATGTATCTCTCTAGGTTTCACCACAGGATTTCTGTGAAAAGATGTGGATCAATTATACCTATTTTTGGAACTATGAATGTGATGCGCTTTCTGCATATGTAGCTCTTTGCAATAAGTTTGACATCTGCATTCAATGGAGAACACCTGATTACTGCTGTAAGTAATTATTAACCAAATAATATTTTTCAACTATTACGTAGATTTTAATTTTTTATCATTAACTTCATTCTTTTCCTTTTCTTTTGTTTTTAAAACCACAAAATGATTCAGTAGCAATAAAAAGTATGGAGAAAGAATAATATACTAACACCAGTTATATTGCTCAGGCTTCAGAAATGAAACACAGATGAAGTTTCTTGTGTGCCTTTCCCCTACTCTTTTCTTCTCCTTCCTTCCCCAGTGGTAACCACTTTTCTAGATTGGAGTTGCTGATTCACAAGGAATTTGTGGCATCTCCAGCTTTAATGTATAGACACTGTCAAATTGTTTCCAGCTGAGATTGTACCAATTTGCACCCCTACAAGCTGAGTGTTCATTTCTTAACAGTATGGCTTTTTAAGATCATTGAAAATCAACAAGAATTTTCTAAAACATCATTTAGAAACTGTTCAGCACTGGTAGTTACTTTTGACAGTGAAGGATTAAACCTAAACATGCAACATTTTTCTTTTTCATAACTTGGTTGAATTACATATTTCAAGTGCATTTTCATGCTTATGCTGAGCAGACTGTTTTATCACCTCTCACTGCATAGAGCAGGAACTTAACAGTAGTTGACTGTACGCAGATTCTGGCTGCTTCTTGGTCATATTTATCTGATATAAATTAGATGAACTTTTCCCACTTATTGTGAGTAACACCCAGTATTAGCTGAACACATGGTAGATGCTCAAAAATTCATTATCAACATGGGAGAAAGAGGGCTGTTTATGCACAGGGAGATAGTTCAGGGAGCAGGAGTGCATGGAGGGATGGACACGAGCAAGAGGTAACTATTGGGAGGAAGTGGGAGGGGAGCTGTTTCATTGTGGTAAATTGTAGTCAATGTCATGAGACAACGTGTGTGAACTGCTGTATGGAAAGTGAATTTGCTCTGCAAACTTTCACCCAAATCACAATTAAAAAAAAAAAAAAAAACCATTACTGATAGTTTTGTTTCTGAATTATGGTTACATAGAAAATGAAAAATGTACTTTCAGAGACTAAAATGTATGAAATTCATTTTCAGAAAGATACGATATGTGTTCCTTTTGTTAGAATTCAAGTAGATTACTTTATCATTAGTAGATTCTATCCTCTCAAATTCATAGCTCTAAATTGCCCAGAGGGGAAGGAATATCAGCCTTGTGTGCAACCTTGTGAAGCAAGAACATGTCTAAACAAATGGTTCTACGATCACTCCTCATGTCTGAATTTAAGAGAAGACTGTGTGTGCAAAAATGGAACCATTCTTCACAGGCCCGATTCAACTGAATGCATTCCAGAGAAAAAATGTGGTAAGAAGCAGAGCAAAAATGACTTTTTAGGGATCCAACAAACAAACAAACAAAATATTCTTAGACTTTAGAGAGATGTGCTGAGAAAGATTGATCAAGTTAACCTTGATGTTGGAAAGGAAGTGAGTTTGTGGTTTCAACTTAATATGATTTCATTTGAAGTTAACAAAAGTAGGTGCTTTGGTGGTGATATGTTTTCATGTCTACCTGTGCCTATAATAATTAGGGGAGAGTATGACGTATTAAGAATTAGAAATATAATTTGCAGACTGAATTCAAATTTCAGTTCTACCATATACTATATATGATATGCCATATACTCTTACCACTTTGAGCAACAGGTTATGCATCTATGAATGAGGAAAATAATAGCATGTATCCCATACAGAGGAAACTCTGGTGGTGTAGTGGTTAAGGCATTTGGCTGTTAACCAGAAAGTTGGTGGTTCAAATTCACCAGCTTCTCTGTGGATGAAAGATTGGGCAGTCTGCTTCCATAAAGACTTACAGCCTTGGAAACCTAATGGGGGGTCTCTATTAGTTAGAATTGACCTGATGGCTGTGAGTGGTTTATTCCATAAAGAAGGAGATCTGGTAAAACAGTGGTTAAAACACTTGACGGCTAATTGAAATATTGGTGGTTCAAATCCACTTGCCATAGTCTGCTTCCATAAACATTTACAGATTAGAAACTATACAGTAGTTCTACTCCTATAGAGTTGCGATGAGTCAGATTCAAGTCAACAGCAATGGGCTTATTTTTGTTTTGGATCCCACGTTATTATAGGGATGAATAAAATCATAAAAAGTATTTGATATTTAACACTGCCTGGAGAAATATAAGCAGTTATGTAAGTGGAAGATAGTTTTATGATCTGGGGGAAATGTTTAACATTTTTATTTTCATTTTTAAACCATTTTATTCCACCACATTCATGGTGGTGGTAGATGAAACAAGTTCCAAATTGAGAAAATTGCAGCACAGTACTTTGCTAGCCTTAGGACTCATCATGTTCATCTTCATGGTCAGAAGTGAAAGGAATTTGCTAATAATTTAAAGGGAAAGGCTTATGGAAGTGAAATACATATATAGTTTCAGGAACAAGTTTGTGTTTACCAGTGAAGAAAGCATCTGTGGAAGACTGAGAGTCCACAGAGGTGCTTGTGGTTGTTCTTTAAAACCAATGAAATTGGTTGGCTCATAAATAAGATAATGGAAGAGAAGCTCATTAGAGACTAGTGGTATGGTTGGTCACTCCTTTTGTCTCTGTTGTTGTTATGTGCTGTCGAGTCGGACCCGACTCATAGCGACCCCTCCTTGGGTTTCTGAGGCAGTATCACTACGGAAGTAGATTGTCCCATCTTCCTTCCAAAGAGTGGCTGGTGGGTTTGAACCGCCAGCCTTCTGGTTGTCTCTACTCTTCCTAAAAACAACTACCTGATGGCCATATTTAAGATAAAAATAAAACTTTTACAGTAAAACTAACCGAAATCCTAAATAATATTTTCCTTAATCGCCTACTTTCTCCTTTTAGACTTTAAAAATAGAAGTTTGAATTTGCATGACACAAATGTTTATGTGTTGTGGTAACCTTATTTTGTAGTACCAATTATTTGTAATATTAAATATTTTAAATCTGATTTAAATTTGCATTACTGAATTAGTTCCAACTAATGGTAATTTTATAAAAAGACTAAAATATATCAAAAATAATCAACAAAGCAGCATCTTATTTATAGAAGAAAACATACACATTTACTAATATAGAAGGGGAAAATATTTCAGGAGACTAAATCAAAATGTTTATTAAAGAAAAATGTAAACAAGTAGCTGATGAAAAAAAAAAAGAATCTGAGAAAGATATTGATGTGACATACCATCTATGTCAGTGGGCTATGTCATCATCTGAGATCAAAACACTAGATTGATTTATTTCAGGATCCAGGTTATGAGTGACCTAATGTTTTCAATCTTCCTAAGTGTGTACTGATATTGACGATCGACCCCGTGCTGCTGGGGAAGTATGGAATGGGGGTATCGATGAATGCTCCCTGTACAAATGTCTTGAGAATGGAAGCATTATTCCTATAGAGCCTGACTGCCATGAGCAGCCCTCGCCAGTTTGTGAACGAGAAGGTGAAATTGTCATGGGCATTGTTGATAAGTGGACCTGCTGTTCAGAGGAAATTTGTGGTAAGTAAACAGGTTGATGTCTTATAGTCAGTTAAGGCCAAAAAATATGTTGCTATTCTCTGTTAAAAAGCAGGACATGAATGCTATAAAACAAAAAAAAGTAATGCTGCCATGAATGTCACCCACACATTCTCAAAGAAAGTTTAAATTCAATATAATTTTGCAAATGTGCATGCAAAAATCTGGTTATTGGCAATAAATAATATTCATCAATATATGACTATTGAAAAGACTCGGGAATCTGCCCTATGACTATTGAGGGTGAAAGACATAATAAACAAACCTTAAAGCTGCTGCCTTTTCAAATAAACTCCGTTTTGTAAGCTGAATAGGCTTAACTGCAAGCTCTGGTGGAGTAATGCCTAATGCATTTAACTGCTAACTAGGAGGCTGGTGGCTCAAACCCACCAGCTACTCCTTGGAAGGAAGACTGGGCAATCTACTTCCATAGTAGATTCTGCCTCGGAAACCCAAGGAGGGGTCACTATGAGTTAGATCTGACTCAAAGGCAGTGAGTAAGAGCAGTACAAAAAACATGTATAATAAGAGTCCTTGGCCTGCTTTGAGTTAGCAGCATAGGATTTTAGTTATGTTCATTAATATTTTAATGTTTCTGTTTCTTACTTCCAGGATGTGACATGACTTTGTGTGACACTACCATTCCAACATGTACAAGTAGTCAAAAATTGGTCATTGGCTATAACCCTCTTTCTTGCTGTCCACAGTACCAATGTGGTGAGTAATCAATTAGGAGCAATATGAGTGCGGTTCATTATCCATTCAGAGTAGTGACTAGCGTCTCATTCCTTGTGACTGCAAGGAAATGATTTAGTATAAAAGTTTGTGGCAGCATCTTGCTAAACTTTTTTTTTTACCTGCAATTTCTCTCACTCTCCATATATATATAATGTATATATGTGTGTGTGTGTGTGTGTGTGTATATATATATGTATGTGTGTTTGTGTGTGTGTGTATATATGTGTGTGTACACATATATATACACACATATATATACACATATATATACACATATATATATATATATATACATATATATATATATATACACACACACACACATATATATATATATATATATATATACACACACATATATATACACATATATACACACACATTTGTTGTTGTTATGTGCTGTCAAGTTGGACCCGGCTCATAGAGACCCCTCCTTGGGTTTCTGAGGCAGTATCTCTATAGAAATGGATATATAATCTCCTGCTATTTCTTATGTATTTCTGCTTATATTAAGATCTTTAAAATAAATTATTACTAAATTAAAAGAGAAATAAACAATATAATTTCATTTTATTTAACCATTTACTACTATACAAATTTTCAAACATCTTTTTGCTTCTGCAGAATGTGATCCAGTCAAATGCCCTGATATTCCAATACCAGAATGCACAGAAGAACAATTCATGATTCAAGTTCAACAAGGAGAACCCTGTTGTTACTCCCCTCTCTGTGGTGAGTAATCTAAAATATCGTTTCTTGAAAAGAGAGAGGATCAAGGGGAAATCTTTTATTTGATATAAATTTTATGGGATTGATGGTAACCAATATTCTGATGTTAAACTCATGAGAGCACAACAGAACATGAGCTGCAAATGACTCTACAATTGCTACAGTTGTTACTACTTTCCCTTATAAACAAAAAAATGGTCTCTCTTCATATACACAAATACATGTTGTTTTTAGGTGCTGTTGAGTCACTTCTGATATAGTGACTCTGTGCACAACAGTGAAGCACTGCCCAGTCCTACAACATCCTAATGATCACTGCTATATTGAACCCATCATTTCGGTCACTGTGGCAATCCATCTTGTTGAGGGTCTTCTCCTTTTTTGCTGACCTTCTATTTACCAAGCAGGATGTTCTTCTCTAGGGACTGTCCCTCCAGATAACATGTCCAATGCACATGAGTTGAAATATCATCATCCTTGCTTCAAAGGAGCATTCTGGCTGTACTTCTTCCGAGACAGATTTGTTTGTTTTCTGGAAGTCAAAAATATATTCAATATTCTTTGCTAACATCAGAATTTAAAGGTATAAATTCTTCTTCAGTCTTCCTTATACATTGTCTAGTTTTTCACGCATATAAGGTAATTGAAAATATCATGGTTTGGTAGCATAGTGCCCGAGGCACTTGACTATTAACCAGAAGGCTGGAGGTTCAAACCCACCAGGCTCTCCTCAGAAGGAAGGTTGGACAATCTACCTCCATAGTGATACCGCCTTGGAAACCCAAGGAGGGGTCGTTTTGAGTCAGGATCGACTCGATGGCACATAACAACAACAACATAGGTCAAGTGTAGCATTGTCCTCAAAGTGACATCTTTGCTTTTTAACACTTTAAAGACATCTTTTGTAGCAGATTTGCCCATGCAATACATGGTTTGATTTCTTGACTACCATTCCATGTGTGTTGATTATGGAGCTGAGTAAAATGAAATCCTTGACCATTTAAATCCTTTCTACACTTATTTGTTGCTTTTTGGTCCAGTTGTGAGAATTTTTGTTTTCTTTATAATGAAATGTGGCCCACACTGAAGGCAATAGTCTTTGATCTTCACCAGTAAGTGCTTCAGGTCCTCTTCAATTTCAGCAAGCAAGGTGTCAACTGCATAGCACAAGTTGTTAATTAGTCTTCCTCCAATCCTGATGCTATGTTCTTATTCATATAACTCAGTTTCTTGAATTTTTGTTCAGCATACAGATTGACCAAGTATGGTGAACGGGTACAGTGCAGATGCACACCTGTTCTGACTTTAAACCATGCAGTATCTCCTTGTTCTGTTCAAATGACTGCCTCTTGTTCTATGTACAGCATCTGCCTGAGCTCAATCAAGTACTCTTGAATTCCCATTCTTCACGATTTTATCCATAATTTGTTATGATACACACAGTCAAATCCCTGTTCATTGTCAATAAAACACAGGTAACATCTTTTTGGTATTCTCTGCTTTCAGACAAGAGCCATCTGACATCAGCAATTATATCCCTCCTTCCATGTACTCTTCTAAATGTAGCTTGAATTTCTGGCCATTCCCTATCAGTGTACTGCTGCAACTATTTTTGAATTATTTTCAGCAAAATTTTACTTGTATATGATATTAATAATATTATTCAATAATTTCCACATTCTGTTGGATCACTTTTCTTTGGAATGGCACAAATATTAATCTTTTCCAGTCGGTTGGCCAGAAAATATGAATCTTTTCCAGTCGATTGGCCAGGTAGCTGTCTTCCAAATTTCTTGGCATAGATGAGAAGTGCTTCAAGTTTTGCATCCTTTTGTTGAAACATCTCAATCGGAATTGTGTCAATTCCTGGAGGCTTGTTTTTCACCAGTGCATTCAATGCAGCTTGGACTTCTTCCTTCAATACCATCAGTCCTTGATTAGAAGCTACTCCTGAAAAGGTTGAACATTGAACATTTTTAGTTTGGACCATTTCCTTCCATCTTTCCTTGATTCTTCCTGTGACATTCAATATCTCATCCATAGAATCCTTTGATATTACAGCTCGAGGCTTGGATTTTTTCTTTGGTTCTTTCACTTTGAGAAATGCCAAGCATATTATTCTCTTTTAGTTTTCTAACTCCTGGCCTTTCTACATTTCATTATATTACTTTATTTTGTCTTCTTTAGCTGCCCTTTGAAATCTTCTGTTCAGCTCATTTACTTCATTTATTCCAGTCACTTTAGCTATTCAACCTTCAAGAGCAAATTTCATAGTTTCTTCTGACATCCATTTTGGTCTTTTCTTTCTTTCCTGTCTTTTTATTAACCTTTTGCTTTCTTCATGTATGATGTCCTTGATGTCTTCCCACACTCATTTGGTCTTTGGTCATTAGCTTTCAGTGCATCAAATTTATTCTTGATTTGAGCTCTTAATTTAGGTGGGATATACTCAAGGTCATCCTTTGATTCTCTTGGACTTGTTTTAATTTTCTTCATCTTCAACTTGAACTTAGATACAAGTAAATATATGTTGTTGTTATGTGCCGTTGAGTCAAACCCGACTCATAGC